CACATTATGCTCGAAAGCTGAATGCCACAAACAGGCACCGAAAGATGTCAAAATCCCCAAAATGCCTCATTTGAGATTCTTTTACCACCAAAAACAGAATACAGGGAGAATATGTTCTTATCTACCCCATAACAGCACCAGGCAGTCAATCAAAACATCACTTTTATCTACATTCCTTTGGTCAACCAGATATAAGCCCAGACCTGAAATCCATCTCCCTGAAACAATATGTTTTTCCCTCAGAGAGATTCCAGCTAAAGACAAACAACAGATGAGTCATGCGCACGCTTGTCTCTCCATCCACCCACAGAAATACGGCACCCCTGTATTTCTCAGAGGATTCTACGAAGAGCAGGTGAAAAGGAGGCAGACACAGTGAGAAATGTGTTTGAGGAAATGGAGCAGAGAGCCATGAATAATGTGTGTGGAGGGGTGTGTGTCTGCAATGTCATACTCCATCAGAGTGTGGCCAGCTCATCGTGAGTCAAATCTCAGAGTAGAGGCTGTGAGGTATATTGATGATATGTCATATAAAAAAAGGTTTAAGACTAAGCTTCACCAAAACAGCTTTGTGTTCTTGTTCAGATGTGCATTTAGAGATCTGATCATCTCTCAGCAACATACTGAGAAGGTTTTGAGATATTTTGATTAGAAAATCTCTCCTACAATAGCATAGGCTGTCAAAAACATCTTGGTGAGGTGTGAACACAGCTGATGTGTATCTTCAGGAGTCCTAATTTCCTCGGCATACAAAAACCGAAAAGAGAAAGAGCTCCATGTAAGAATTGCCTGACATTTTTAGGTCAACTTACTGAACATTAAAAGCCTCTGCATAGCAATCGTGAATTTACAAGGTACTGGGTTGCATTATTGCAGAAGAACATATAAGCTTACAATGTTTTTGACCCAGTAAAGATGTTAAGATTTCTTTTATTCTATTTCTATATGGCATATTCAAGCATACTGAAGCACAGTATCTGTGTAAGTTGAATTGCTTAATATACTATTCAACAAAATAATTATCTGAACCTCAGATATTTCTGTGATGTGTAAATATTTGCTTTATTGCACACATAAAATTGCTTGCACACTCCAGCAGAAAACACCTTAAAGGGATAGTTCATCCAAAAATGAAAATTTGATGTTTATCTGCCTACCCCCAGGGCATCCAAGATGTAGGTGACTTTGTTTCTTCAGTAGAACACATATGATGATTTTTAAGTCCAACCGTTGCAGTCTACAGGCAGGGGCGTGTCTACGTGGTGGCCAGGGGTGGCACCGGCCCCCCCTGAAATTTGGCTGGCCACCCCAGGTTCCTCCCCTACCAGATGTCTTGCCATAGGCTTGTTTTTAGTAAATTTCTAATTTTAGGCGGTTTCTATAGTGTGATCTTAATGACAATGTCGAGAGCGCATAATGTTACGTGATTCATGTGCGCGTGGACGAATCTCTCCACTCCCAAGCGGATTTCCTTCACTCACACAAAACTGGACGTGTGCTTTTAACATACATCGTT